CCCCCATGTTTATATTTTTTTCAAGAATTGCATTCACCCATAACGAGTAGATATGGAAGCGGGGTCACCCAGTGATGTCACCAAGTATCCCCCATTTACCGGTGAGTTGGCAGTGTTTCTGGACAGGACCAGTCATGTTTGGTGGGCAGTATGATGATTGCGGTGTCAGACCCCAGCCCTTCTCACCAAACTCATGATCAAAGGACTAGCTAATCTAAAACCGCGCTGTCACATGTGCGTAACAATGTCATGCCCAGCTGCACCCTGCACACAGATTTTCCAGCTAATGGACCACAGTCGGTGTACTTGCAGCCTGAGAGAGATTGTTACTGGGTCAGGGTAATTACGCAATTAACCGTTCACACTGCCACCACCTCCTTTTTGTACAGAGAAAGAGGAAACTCGGCAATACCAGCAATAACACTATGATGGTTGGATAACTGTCTGTATACCACTGTCACCGCAGGCAGGTTATACAGAGAGGGTTAAATACACACAGTAGCGCTCTTCACAGGCAGGAATTTGTAGTTTGCATTAAAGAGTTTTAGAAACACTTCAACACTTTCAGAAAGCAAGATTTATTACTAAAAAGGTCAAAAGGGTGCAATAAAAATATTTACAGAAAAAGATGTAGCCAATATATATATATGTATATATATATATATATATATATATATATATATATATATATATATATATATATACACACAGAACAATAGCACAGCAAAGAGAAAACAGAGAGAAATTTAGAGGGTTAAAGTACTTGCCAGACGTCCTGGGTTAAGCAGATCAGGTTTCAGAGTAAAAGAATTTCTTATCTCCCACTGTTAGTTCCGATGTTACAAAAGGAGATTCTTCAACTCTGCTCAACTCAGCTTAGCTTTCTAGCAACTCCACAGGGTGTCTCCCTGGAGCAGTAAACCAATTGCCTCATTTGGTCAGGTATGGCAGGTGGAGACCTAAGGTATGACCAAAAATCCTCACATTTGATGTCATGGTTCATAACTTTTCCTCAGTGCATTTAGCAGCCTGGCCACTAGTAGATTAATACTCAGAATCACCGGCTGAATGTCTACATATGAAATATAAGATAACTGCTTTTTGCTTGAGGTGATTGTAGCCGTATGAGTGCATTTGTGACAGAAACAATTGAGTCCTGTCCGTGATACTTTTTGTATTTGTACTAACATACAATTTGGAGGACAAGCTTTCGGGGAGTGTCCCCTTCTTCAAGGTCCGAGTAGTACTATGCAAATCACAAAGTTTTAGCAGAATGTTAGAAAGATGAGAAAAAAAAAAAAACAGGCTAAAGATAAGATACAGGAAAAGCAGAGGGGGGGGGGGGGGGACACTCACACAGAGGGAGTTAAGTTAGAGCTGATAGTCATAAAACTATTGGTTAATGAGTGAGGAATCCCATGTCCAAATTCAGGCCGTTATCTCTTGTGTCAAATAGAATTATCATTCTTAGTTCAAATGTTTTTCTTTCCTGAATGGATTTGAAATGTCCTTTAAGAACTAAAATATTGAGGTCTCCCATTGTGTGGTCTGGTTGGGTGAAGTGTCCCAAAGGTGTGCAGAGGTCATCTTCTTTATGTTCCTTGATGGTATGTCTGTGCAGATTCATCCTTGTTTGTAACTTCTGCCCTGTTTTACCAACATAAGATCCTTTGCTGCATTTTCTGCACTGGATAAGGTACACAACATTACTGGAGGTGCAGCTGTATGATCCGGAGATACTGAAGATCCCTTTTGAGTGTCTGACACTTTTTGATGGATTTATTTGGTTGCACAGTTTGCAGCGTTTCTTATTGCAGGGTTTGCTTCCATTATTTGTGACATCATAATCAGAAGGAAGTTTACTACTGATTAGTTGTCTGAAAGCCACTTTATTTCTGAGGTTGGGGGTTGTCTGAAGACCAGTATTGGGGGGTTGTCTGAAGGCCAGTATTGGGGGTTGCTGGAATATTTCTTTCAGAGTTCCATCCTCTGTTATGATGGGTTGTAAATCTTTGATTATTTTTCTTCTTCCTTCTAGTGCCGGGTTGTATGTGGTTACTAGAGGTACATGGTTGTTGTTTTTTTTTCTCTTTGTACTGAAGCAGATTTTCCATTCGGGTTCTCAAGGCTGTGTTTATGCCGGTGTTGATAGTTTTGTCCTTGTAACCTTTCTTATGGAAGGAGTCTGCTAGTGTCCCGAGATGTGTATCTCTGTCTCTTGGGTCAGGACATATTCGGTGCTATCTAATGGCCTGACTGTGTATGATGGCATGTTTCGTGTGTTGGGGGTGGAAGCTGGAACTGTGGAGGTAGTTGCATCTGTCGGTGGGTTTCCTGTATATTGAGGTGTGAAGCGTATCATCCCTGATGTATACTGTGGTGTCTAGGAAGTTGACGTGTGTGTTTTGAGTATTCCATTTTTAGTTTGATTATTGGATGAAAAGTGTTGATCAATGAGTAAAATTGTTTTAGGTTTTCTTCACCTTCTGTCCATATGATGAAAATATTATCAATATAGTGATAGTATCTGTATGGTTTTTGTTCCATGCTGTTCAGGAATTTTTCCTCCAGGTCAGCCATAAATAAATTGGCATATTGGGGGCCATTTTACTTCCCATCGCAGTACCCATACATTGAGGATAAATGTCTTTATTGAAGGCAAAGTAGTTGTGTGAAAGTATGAATTCAATGAGCTGTGTAACATCCTCAGCAGTGTATTTGTGGTTTGGTGAGGATGATAAGGATCTGTGACATGCAGCTCATCCATCCATGTGAGGGATATTACTGTACAGGGATACTACATCCATAGTCACTAGAAGTGTATTAGATGGTAATTGCTGGATGTTGTTGATCTTGTTCAGAAAGTCAGTTGTGTCTTGCAGGAAACTAGCAGTAGTCTTGACTAACGGTTTTTGAAATATTTTCTACAAAGCCTGAGATTTGTTCGGTGAGTGTATTCATACCTGTTATGATGGGTCTGCCTGGATTTCCTGGCTTGTGGACTTTGGGCAACATGTAGAAGTCCCCGATTTCTGGATGATCGGAATTGCATTCATAAGTTCTGAATGTAGGTGGGCTGGAAGTGTTTTGAGACTTTTTAATTGCTTTGTAAAGTTCTGGGTCGGATCATAATCCAGTTTCTTATAGTAGATGGCATTTTCCAGCTGCCTCTGGCCTTCTTGTATGTATTTGTTTGTATCCATCACAACAACTGCTCCCCCCTTTATCCGCTGGTTTGATGGTGATGTCAGATATGGAGGATTTCTTCAGGAGACTAAGGCTCAAAGAATATTTCCACAATAATGAAAGGAATCCTAGGACAATGGAGTGCGACACAAAGAAAAAGAACAGCTGCTTCACACCTCCACAAGAACCCAACCCCAAACTGGACACCTATATTGACAGCTTCAGATTGTGAGCTACATCCCTGATATCCACCCAGCAAAAGAAAATTCTGTACAATCTTTCACCACTAGAGCGAAGGGCTATACATGATTTGTGCAATAATCAGACCATCACCATCAAACCAGCGGATAAAGGGGGAGCAGTTGTTGTGATGGATACAAACAAATACATACAAGAAGGCCAGAGGCAGCTGGAAAATGTCATCTACTATATAAAACTGGATTATGATCCGACCCAGAACTTTACAAAGCAATTAAAAGGTCTCATTAAAACACTTCCAGCCCACCTACATTCAGAACTTATGAATGCGATTCCGGATCATCCAGAAATTGGGGACTTCTACATGCTGCCCAAAGTCCACAAGCCAGTAAATCCAGGCAGACCCATCATAACAGGTATGAACTGTGGTGGCTATTTTGGCCCTATAATAATTTTAATATTATTGTGAACTTCTGTTCAGGGTCTCAATTTATGTAACATATTTACCATCTGTTGTATCACCTCAACACACCTCCATGAAGGTTATTGTGGCTGTGGTGGGGGGGGGGGGGGGGATTACACTTAAAAGACTCAATTGAGTTGGGGGGATGGGAGGCAACTGGAATTTCCTGTTTTTCTTTTAACTGAACTGGCCATTGCTCTGAAGCCCACCCATTTGAGGTGTGAATTTACTTGGGTGGGTGGATCTAGGGATGGTCTTTTGTAAAGTGTATAAAAGAGCAAATACAAAAGAGTAATTGCCTTTTTTTGCCATGTGCCTTCCGGAGCGAGACCTCACAACATCAGGATGTAATGTATCACCATTGCTCTGTCTTTTTCTTGTAACTATCTCTTTCTTGTAGTCTTTGTATTGGTAACAATCTGTATATCATAGTAATATTACTACTTTTTACGTTATAATGGCTACATTATATTTTGTTGTAATTGATTAACAGCCACTTTCTTTTTCTGTGTAAATAAATGAGATCTTTATTTGTGCACAGTTGTTATCCTTTAAATATTAACACCATTGGCTAAATTCAGGTATAGACAAAAGGTTATAATCACTTATTGCATTTGTAATCTGTATAGAACCAAGTGAATAAGTGGGGTAAGGAAAACCGCCAAAACAGAACACACTCACCGAACGAATCTCAGGCTTTGTAGAAAATAGACACCACAGTATACATCAGGGATGATACGCTTCACACCTCAATATACAGGAAACCCACTGACAGATGCAACTACCTCCACAGTTCCAGCTTCCACCCCCAACACACGAAACGTGCCATCATACACAGTCAGGCCATTAGATACTGTAACAGAAGCGTAGGCAGGACAGAAAGCACAAAGAAGATGGGGAACACACAAAGCTTTATTGAACTCTGAAAGACACTCAATCAGAACAGTTCATGGCACTCCGCGACATGCGGCTCGTAGGGACACCCACAGTAAGTGGGCTCACGGGGACTCAACGGGACTCCAGCTGTGGAGTCTGGCCTAGCACACTGCTCCCACCCAGCTTTCTAGGGACATCGGGGTACCTTAAAGGGAAAGGAACTAGGTAGTCTGTGGGGGGACTCAACAGGACTCCAGCTGTGGAGTCTGGCCTAGCACAGCTCCCACCCAGCTTCCCAGGGACATCAGTGTCACTGGGACAGTTCAGGACACGGGTAGGTAGTCTGCGCGCACAACAGCGCCAGCTCAGGACATGGGGTGGTCAGTGCACACAGCAGGGACAGTTCAAAACACAGGTGGTCGGTGCACACAACGGGGACAGTTCAGAACACGGGGTGGTCAGTGCACACAGCGGTGCAGTTCAGAAACACGGGGTGTCGGTGCACACAGCATGGACAGTTCAGGACACGGGTGGTCGGTGCACACAGCGGGGACAGTTCAGAACACGGGGGGGTCGGTGCACACAGCGGGGACAGTTCAGAACACGGGGGGTTGGTGCACACAGTGGGGACAGTTCAGGACACTCACGGTAAGCAGCTTGCAGTCCCTCAGTGGCAGGAGGGCTCCAGACAGGGACGACCAGTGGTCAGCATTTCAGGGACAACCAGCGATCAGCAGAAGCTCCCCGGGCACTCAGCAGTGGACGGCTTCCAGGGACATGCAGCCACGGACAGTGTGCAGGGTCCCTCAGCAGCAGCTCCCCGGGCACTCAGCAGCAGACAGGCTCCAGGGACACGCAGACATGGACAGTGTGCAGGGTCCCTCAGTGGCAGCTCCCAGGGCACTCAGCAGTGGACAGGGTTCAAGGGTGCTCAGTAGACAGGCTTTCAGGGTCTGGCAGGGTCTCAGCTGTGGGGTCTGACCTTTGAGGAGAAGGCTCATGCAGAGCTGTGGAGACTCCCAACCCTGGGGTATTGCAGAGGGCTACAGTCCTGACCTTTTGGGGATCTACAGAGTGCACAGCGGGGATGACTGGGGAGGCTCGGTCCCCCTCATCCGAGCCTCCCAGCGTCTTTCCGGGAGCAAGATGATTCCAGCAGCATGGACAGGAACAAAGAGGAGGGCTGCTTCCTGTGCAAGTCTATTTAAAAAACCATGTGGGACGCTGCCGGGTTGCCTCGGCAATGGACGGCCCACCACCATTCATGGAAGCTACATGGACATCCGAATGTGCAAGGGGGGAGGGAGGGGTGGAGGGATATGGCGGGGGATGGGAGAGACACTGGCACTCCATGACAAATACCACCAAATATGTTCTGACCCAAGAGACAGAGATACACATCTCGGGACACTAGCAGACTCCTTCCATAAGAAAGGTTAAAAGGACAAAACTATCAACACGGCATAAACACAGCCTTGAGAACCCGAAGAGAAAACCTACTTCAGTACAAAGAGAAAAAACAAACAACCGTGTACCTCTAGTAACCACATACAACCCGGCACTAGAAGGGATAAGAAAAATAATCAAAGATTTACAACCCATCATAACAGAGGATGGAACTCTGAAAGAAATATTCCAGCAACCCCCAATACTGGCCTTCAGACAACCCCCAATACTGGCCTTCAGACAACCCCCAATAGTGGCCTTCAGACAACCCCCCAATACTGGCCTTCAGACAACCCCCCCAATACTGGCCTTCAGAAAACCCCCCAATACTGGCCTTCAGACAACCCCCCAATACTGGCCTTCAGACAACCCCCAATACTAGCCTTCAGACAACCCCCCCAATAGTGGCTTTCAGACAAACCCCCCAACCTCAGAAATAAACTAATCAGTAGGAAACTTCCTTCTGATTATGATGTCACAAATAATGGAAGCAAACGCTGCAATAAAGAAACGCTGCAAACTGTGCAACCAAATCAATCCATCAAAAAGTGTCCGACACTCAAAAGGGATCTTCAATATCTCCGGATCATACAGCTGCACCTCCAGTCATGTTGTGTACCTTATCCAGTGCAGAAAATGTAACAAAGGATCTTATGTTGGTAAAACAGGACACAGAAGGTGCAAACAAGGATGAATCTGCACAGACATACCATCAAGGAACATAAAGAAGATGACCTCTGCACACCTGTGGGACACCATTTCACCCAACCAGACCACACAATGGGAGACCTCAATGTTTTAGTTCTTAAAGGAAATTTAATTCAGGAAAGAAAAACTTTTGAACTAAGAATGATAATTCTATTTGACACAAGAGATAACGGCCTGAATTTGGACCTGGGATTCCTCAATCATTATCCAACAGTTTTATGACTATCACCTCTAACTTAACTCCCTCTGTGTGAGTGGCCCCCCCCCCCCCCCTCTGCTTTTGCTGTATCTTATCTTTAGCCTTTTTTTTTTTCTCATCTCTTCTAACATTCTGCTAAAACTTTGTGATTTGTATAGTACTACTCGGACCTTGAAGAAGGGGACACTCCCCGAAAGCTTGTCCTCAAAATTGTATGTTAGTGCAAATAAAAAAAAAGTATCACAGACAGGACTCAATTGTTTCTGAGATAACTGCTTGAATGGTTAAGGAGATATAATTTTCTGCTCTCCTGTGTATGTCAGATTGGGGGTGTAATATACCAGGAGACTGGGCTCAAAGTGAGCCGTCCAAATATGTGCTCCATGTTTGTGTAAGTCTTTCATAATCCAAGATATGTAATCATAGGGGAAAATGGATGTTGAATGTGGTGTCTGGTGTATGACTGATCTTGAAAAGCCCTCCTCTAGCAAGAGTTTTGTAGACAGGGGTTTCACCTAGCTAGTGAGGTCTATAGCCATGATGCCCTCCCAATGAGTCTGTTGCCTGTGATCTCTGCACACACACATCGACCACATTCCTGAGGGAGTGGGGGAAATTGGAGGAGGAAGCCTGTTTTGGGGAGAGAGAGAGGTTAGAACATGGAAGATTCTTAACAAGATGGATGACTGTGTCCATCGCGGTGTGCATGATTGCTACAGGCAGCTTTTTTAATCATGTGGGACCCAAATTGATATTTTTATTTAATTGTGAAAAACAAAACTCTATTAGTATTCCTGTGTCTGTAGGTGATTGTAGGAATAAATCCTTTTCAGAGCCAGTTAAGAAAAAAACAGTGTGACTTTATTTGATCACACACAAAAGATACAAAGTCACTACAAAAGTAACAATTTCAAATACAAAAAGAAATGTAGCTTTAAATAAAATTAAAAATAAAGAATATAAGTTGTTTGTTCCTTGAATGAATGTGTTAAAGCATGTGTGCATGTGAGTGTCCTTTGTGTGTAAGGGTGAGTGTCCTTTGTGTCAACATGAAGACAATGGGCTTTGGAGGGAAGCCCCCTTGCCAAAAAGCACCCCCCGGTTGAAGGCATGTGGCCTAGTATGGTTTGGGGGTGCTCACTCTTCCCCCTTCAATTGGACTTATCACGACCCTGCAGGGTATTGAACCCGAGCAGAGTCACTCATCCCTACTAGTCAGTACACATCTGATGTTCTAGGGAATGTGTCTGGATCCCCCACAAAAGGCTTTATCCCAAAATCCAGCAGAATATGAGATCATTTATAGTAGAATTCTCACATCAGCTCCTGCAGAGTACAGCCAGGATGTCGGAGTCCCTCACACAGAAGTCTCATTCCAGAGTCTTGGAGATCATTATCTGATAAATCCAGGCTGGTGAGGGATGGGTTAGTGATAAGAATGGAGCGGAGATCATCACAGCAGGAGGAAGTCAGACGACATCTCTCCAAACCTGCAGAGACAAATACAGACACATGAGAGTATATAGGGAAAGAACCAACAACTCTTAGGGTATGGTCATCATAAAACTCATAGAAAAGAAAAGAGAAGGAAGAAGATAATGGGGTCCCATCATCAAGGTGAGAAAAGTCAGTAAATCCCCTTCTGATGATCCATGGAAGGGGGAGGGGTGCAAATCTCTCCAGCAGTCCATTCACTCTGTAGGAAGCTTGTCTCTGGGGAACATCCTGGACCTCGTCTTCTCCCACCTCTGTACCCTCAACCAGTTCTCTAACACCCGCTTCCCTCTCTCCGACCACCACCTCCTCACGTTCTCCATCTCCCCTTCCCCTAACTCCTCCCCCCCAGAGCGCCAAACCATCACCAGCCGCAACCTCCGCAACCTGAACCCGGGCCCCCCTCCACTCAGCTGCCGACCGCCTACACGACAGCATCCTTCCACTGTCTTGTCCTGACCTAGCCACTAACACGTACAACGACTCACTATCAGCTACCCTAGACTCTCTGGCACCCCTAACCACACGCTACATCAAACCCAGACCGCTCCAACCATGGCAGAACGACCACACTAAATGCCTCAAACGTCGCAGTCGTGCACTGGAGAGACTATGGCGCAAAACCAGGTCCCCCCGTTCATTCTCCCTCTACAAATCTGCCTTCCTCACTTACACCTCCTCCCTCCACGCCGCCAAGCAGGCTTACTTCGTAAACCTGATTAACACCCTCTCTCCTCCTGCCCTCGCTGACTCTTCTCCACCTTCAACTCCCTGCTCCCCCCCCCCCCTCCTCCACTCAGTACCTCACTCACCGCCCACGAGATTGCCACTCATTTCCACAACAAAATTGATGCAATCCGTCAGGACATAGTCAACTCGCAATCTACCTCCCCACCTAGCCTCCCCCCCTATCTCCCCCTCATCTCTTCCCTCCTCTGACCTCGCAACCGCACTGCCCCCCTCCACACCCAAGACCCCGCTTACCGTAACCCCACCAGCTCTGCACTCCTTCAGCCCCGCTACCACTGAGGAAGTCACCAGGGTCTTCTCAGAAGCCCGCCTCACTACCTGCCCCCTAGACCCTATCCCCTCTCGACTCCTCCAGTCACCCCCTCTTCCCTCATCTGCTCCCTCACCCACATCTTCAATCTCTCCCTCTCTACCGGCATATTCCCCTCCCCCCTAAAGCATGCGCACATCACCCCCATACTCAAAAAGCCCTCCCTGGACCCCTCTGACCCAAACAACCTCAGACCCATCTCCCTGCTGCCACTCACTTCCAAACTCCTGGAGCGCTTAGTCTACAACCGCCTAAGCGCCCACCTAACTGACAACAACCTCCTTGATCCACTACAGTCCGGCTTCCATCCCCTACACTCCACCGAAACCGCCCTCCTCAAAATCACCAACGACCTACTAACCGCCAAAGCCAAAGGCGACTACTCTGTCCTCCTCCTCCTGGACCTCTCCGCGGCCTTCGACACAGTTGACCACACCCCCCTCCTCCTTAATAAACTATTCTCCCTTGGCATCAGAGACACCGCTCTCTCCTGGTTCTCCTACTTACCTATCCCGACGCTCCTTCAGCGTTTCCTACAATGGTGCCACCTCCCCTTCCCTCCCCCTCTCTGTTGGGGTCCCCCAGGGCTCTGTCCTTGGACCCCTTCTCTTCTCCATCTACACCTCCTCCCTTGGCAAACTCATACACTCCCACGGCTTCAACTACCATCTCTATGCTGATGACACTCAAATTTACCTCTCCACCCCCTCACCTCACCTCCACTTTCTCCACCCGCATCACTCACCTCCTAAATGACATCTCTGACTGGATGTCGCTCCATTTCCTCAAACTCAACCTCTCCAAAACCGAGCTTCTCGTCTTCCCTCCTGCCGCGCGCCCCCCCCCCCATCCTATCCATCACTACTAACATCACCACCATCAATCCCGCCCCGCAAGCCAAAGTCCTTGGAGTCATTCTGGACTCTAACCTCTCCTTCCAACCTCATGTCAAATCACTTACAAACACATGCAGGCTCCACCTCCGCAATATCGCCAAAATACGCTCCTTCC